CGTGTGCTGTGGAGATGAATTTGGCTTGGAATTTAACTGCAAGGGAGTGCTTAAACCTGTACTATGATTCTGCGGAGGAACTGGGGTGGCTGGCAGGATTTCAGTGTTTTTTTTTTTTCGCTTTGAGCGGGGTTCAGTCCAGAATCGAGTGTGTAGCCTTTACTCTTTCTTAGTAGAGGAAAACCAAAAAGCGATAACTCGCTTAAAAGGCTTCGGATCGAGCTTAGAAGCGAGATGACAATAGAAAAGACAACAAGGCATTGCGGTAAGTCATTTTTATTGCAAAAATATCAAAATTTCAGCTATAATATCAATTACTGTTTTTCCCCATACAAACCTTTATAAATTCAAACGGTTGTAACACAACACCACCATATGCTGCAAGGCGAAGGTCACGTTTTGCGTAACCAAACTCAGTGGTTATGTAATAGTAGATGTCGGCGGTAAATATGTCACGTTTCACGCGCTGAACGTTCGCATAAAGATTAAAAAAATAAATAAATAATAACTCCACGCATCATGAGCTTGGGCTGCCTGTGGGTCAATTTGCTCGCTTCTTCCCTGAAGGCCTAGAGCTTTAGCAAAGTCCTTTCATGTCACGGTTTTGCCTGCTCCGCTATCCACGGGAACATTTCCTTCCTGGACCTTTCCATTTGCTGCTTTAAATTGGACTCGAACCACTGGCATGATACTTCCTTTATCAAGGATTGATGCCACTCCACTGTTAGTGGGAGGGTCTATATGGAGCAAGGGGTGATGAATTCGGGTGCAGCCATTCTTGCCATATTTATTCCTGGACCTGCATTGCCGCGTCGGATGACCTCTCACTAAATATGAAAAGGAAAGGCGGCGGTTCTTCGTGTGTTGTATTCTCTCTTCTGGCGAACTATCAGCCATAGTGGGGCAGTCATGGACTCTGTGCTCTGCCTGACAAATATAGCATTTTGGGGCTTTTCTTGAGGCCTTTGTATTTGAATGAATTCCTCTTCTATCTTCTCTTCGAAAGCCGACGTTTCTTGAAGTGTCCATCTTAAGAACATCACCGAAATCGGGATCAAATTCCGCCTTGGCACGTTTCCTCACAAAATTGCTAATGTGTTCCAGTTGAGGGATTTCACTCTTTTCTCTGATGTCTGTGGCCACATTCTTCCACTTTTCAATTAGATGATCTGGGAAACATCTGACAATCTTTTGGAGATTGTCATTGGCGAAGTAATTGATTTGGCGAAGTGTTGCTAAGCAATTGATCATGTCAAAGGAAGACTCACGAAGGGCCTGTCTGTCATCGAGCTGAATTTTTCTTCTTTCCGTGATTTTTCTGATGAATGCCCTAGCAATGACGCTTGGCTGGCCAAAGTTTTCCTTTAGCATTTTCATCGTGGTGGTGCACATGATTCCTTGTGAACCAAGACCAGATATTGTGCGCTCTGCTTCGCCGGTGACATGCATTCTCAATTGCACCATTCGCGTGTCATCTTTCAAGTGCGGCTTGTCGTGGATGTGGATTCTAAACTGTTCGATGAATTCCACATATCGTAGTGGACTTCCATTGAATGGGACCAGTTTTATAATTGGAATATCCTTGCTTGCTTCCAGCTTGTATAACGCATCAGTGATAGACATTTCATGGACGGCAGATGAAAGACGTGTTTCTTCAAATTCCACCAGATCACTTATCCACACATCGACAGGGCATGCTATTTTAGAAGATTGAATAACTCCAGATCGCGTGACCATAGGTTGGCGGGAAGAACTGATACCTTCTGAGCCGCTTTCTTTTTTCGGTTGTCCCAACAAGCTTTCCTCTGAAAGTGCATTATTAGCAGATGATTTGTTTTGCTGCGAATTGTTATCAACTTCGGGAGAGCATCTTGCTTCCAAATCTATGTGGCCATCTACAGGCGGTGGTGGACCATGTTCCTCCAAATTGCTGCTCCCTTGTGCGGTTGAAGGCACTTGTTGTTGAACAATGCCGGGAACAATGACTTGTTGTTGACCACTCACGCTATCCTGCAAATTCTCGCCAGCTCCGTGAGGTGCACTTGGCTCTGAACTTTCGCTTCCCTGTGCGATTAAACCAGGCGTTTGTTGCTGAATGAAGCTGGAGGCGGGAACACTGACTTGTCTCAACTTCTTCTTCAATACTGAAGACATCGTCGGTGAGCAAATTTTCCTACTCATCTAACTTTGGGACTTGGCTGAGGTCTACATAGCCGTAAAGCTTGGCGTGTACATCACAGGCCAATTGAAAATCCTTTTGCAACTCCTCAAGTTCCTTTTCTATACGTCGTTTGGTTTGGTCCTGATCTGTAATAAATTTTCAGACCCTATTTATCGTACACGTGACTTTACCTCTGAGTTGCTTTCTCTTATTTTTCAGCGTTAAGGAAGGGTCCTCTGTTCCCACTGAACTTGACTTAGTGCCTTCCGAGGTTCCAGTGGCATGAGAAGATGCAATAACTTCTTCACCATCGGACATAGCTCCTTGACTTGTTTGTTCCTAATTACCAAGGACAGATACCTCCTTATTGCCTATAGGCTGGCTCTTCTACTTGCATGAGGCTTGTTGCTCTTCAGAAATTTTGGTGCAGAAGGCGACAAACATATCAAACCACCAGGGATTTCTTTATTCTTTATTGCAGTTGATTAAAAGATTCTGAAGAGTGGATCTCTGTGGCTTGGAAGAACTAACATGATGAAGCTTGAATACAATTGAATGTTCGCAATATTGACGCTGATTGCAACTGAACTCGAAACCTAAAATTCTAGTCCTAAAACGAACTATTCATGAGCTGTAAAATAAAGGAAAACAAACTATTCATGAGCTGTCATATACAGGAAACCACAATCGCTAAACTATTTAAGACCACAGAGAAACCAAAAAAATAATCATGCATATTTCGATAATCACGCATTGTTCAAAGTCACGCATTCTTCATAAATCATGGGCTGTTTGTGTTCATGTTCATAGCTCACGCAACTAGTGTAGAACTGTTCATAACATAGGGCTTGGAGGAACAATTAACAATTATTGGATAAGGCTGAGCATGATAGCAATAATTATCAAGGCCTCAGTTTGCATTATCTGCCTCAGCCTTTGGCTTTGGCAGATAACTTTGGCCTTGATAATTATTGCTATCATGCTCAACCTCATCCAATAATTGTTAATTGTTCCTCCAAGCCCTAAAAAAGTGTGTCTGCATTTTCCTATTCAAGTGTAGTGAAAAGTCACAGAACATTTTTTTTGAAATAAGTTTAAAAAAATGTGCAGTGATCATGCAAAAATTGCTCTTAGACAAAAAATATTTCAAAATAAAAAATTTGCCGACACATGTTTGTTGTTTATATGTTAAACTAGCTACTGACCAGATTTGAGGGCAAACGAACAAAGTCCCTTTGATTTGTGGATTCCAAAAGGTGATTCAGACAGTCACATTGAGAGGTAGTGAAAAATTATACAATTCATTTTACTTCAAATTTCTTGGTATAGTTTGATAGCCAGCTCTATAAGTTTAATGATATTATGGGAATTTTTGTAACTACAGTTTAAACCAGATGTGCTACATGGCTTAAGGTGGCTCCCTAGAGTATTTATGAACACCCTCACTATAGAGTGCGAGTTAAAAAAGGAAACTTAGTTAAGTTCTCTTAAAGTTTTCCCTGTAGAGATTTACCAGTATGGGTACCGTTAAAATAAGGCTTATTTTTTGTTGTCAATTTTTGGATTAAGGCCATTACCATAGCAACATCTCATCTAATGACAGGCAGTTATATTCTTCATTTTGGCCTAAACTCCTTAATATTTATACTTGCCTTCAGTAAAATTTTTTTATACTTTGCCACATCATGGAAATGATATTGCCTGACATTTTGAATTGGTAAAAAGTCAAGGTTGTTCAGACGGTTTTTTCCAATATTCTGTAATTTGTCATTCTTCTAAATATATTAGATTAGCTCATACAGATTTTAACAAAAATAGGGTATTTTATAGGAATTGTAAGTGGTTATAACTGAGCCAAATTTTAAAAGAATTCACCAAAGAAACGCAGGAAAATTCACTGTCAGTTTTGCTTTTTGTGCTCATGTTGACATCTTAATAATCCGAAAACACTGACGCTTTCTTTTGAGCATGTGCAGATTACTTGAGATTTCGTCCTATGTGCGCATGCAATCGAAAACTATAGGGAGCCACCTTAAATGTGAGACACCTCTAAAGGTACATGGTAACCTTAATAATTATATATTTCAATTGTGCCAACTTTGCTATAAATGCCCATTTTCTATTTCTCTGAATAAAATGGCAAAATGACCACTTCAGGGACATAAGCTACACAATGCTATATAATTCTAACAGATAAACAGAAAAATACAGTCAAGGCATGTTTACCGAAGTTTAAGTCTTTCTGGATGAAAACAAGACAGAGCATGTCAACTGTGAACCTCCATTTCCAGGACATTAATTATTATAAAGTTGAGAAGAATATTGCTCTTTTAGAGAGTGATTTCATGTGTGATTAAAGAAATTTTCTGTATGCCTTGTTCTTTTGTCATTGTTACATTGCTTTTTAAAATATGTAAACAGACAAATGGTCACATGTTAAGAGCCAGCCGGACCAACTGAGTAACTCAGTTACTGTAGTCCACTGGCTATTTATACTGGTAAAATGTTGAATGAAGTAATAAGAACTAAACAAAATAGAAATTTCCCATCCTTTCACCAGCATGTAGAGTTTTGAAAAAGCCTGTTGTTAATAAGAGTGCAACAAAATCTGCTTGTATTTACCACCCTAATTTGATATACAGCTGTAAGGGTGACCTCTTGTCCTGATACACTATGGATATGATCAACTACTTTGCATTAGCCCTCAAAAACACAAGTGCCATTCAGCATTTGAGAATATGTTACTCACCTGCTGTTCTATACCCATTGCTAAAAGTACCCTTATATGACCATGCTGCATATGAGTAAATGGGTTGGTTACAGGACACCACTGATCCACTGCCACTACAGGAAACTGAAAGACAAAGACCATCACTTCTATATTCCAATCAGCAATCTATTGATCTTTTAAGTCCTTTTTAAGTGAAGCAAGACCCTTGCTCTCATTACCGGTATGTGTAATATATTTAACCCCTTTGCACCTATAGCTTTTTGGCAAAAATGCACGTTTTACATTTTCTGGTCAGTTATGAGCTGAATTAAATCAAAACTACTCAAAATGGCATATTTTACAACAAAAAAGCATGCTTTTGCTTAGGCCAGATTTTGGACCAGGAAGTGGCCTTTTAAAAAACGTTCCCCACTTGTCCTTTTTCTCCTTTTCTTTTTGCTGAGGTTGTTGCCCTTCTACTGGGCTTGCTTTAAGTTCAAGAATTCACAACAAAACATCATCGTCGCCTGAAATTCTTATCAGTCATGGAGTAGCCAACAGCAAATGAGGTAATTTTTCCTCCAACTTTTTTACTTGAATTTCCAAGCATTTTTGTGTGTTATTTCAAGCTCCATCAGCCCAATCACCCAATTATGGACAAAGGTGATGACATCAGAAGCAGAACAAAGGCCAAAGCTCATCACACGTGGTTACAGACCACAGACACAGGAGCTAATGGGTTACAGAAACAGTATGAACACTGCTGACGGATGCAGACAATACACAATACATGAAATATTCAGGAGAATTTTTAAAGTTATTTTCAATTAAACATATACAGGCAAAAACTAACGATAGATAAATCCGACGTTTCGGCGACATCTTGGCGCCATTGTCAAGGGAAACTAATTAAATATGCGATTTCA